CCAAAAGCCCAGCAGAATGATTCAAAATGTTGTGAGTTTGGCTAGAAAGGAAGCTCCAGTAAAGTTGCAGCCTGCAAAGATGGAACAGAAGAAAAACTAGTCGCTGAAAAGACTAGCAAGAAAAAGCCAAGAATTTCAGAAGAAGACAACAGAAAAGATGGCTTGAGAACATCACAAGAACCAACAGGACTCCAGCCTTTGCAGTCATAGAGTTGCAAAGGGGAAAGACTTTGCTTTGAGAAGAGAGTCCCAGAGCACCGTGTTCCAGAATGGTGGTGGCCTAGGGATATTGTTCCTTAAGATTTGGTTCATAGTTCCATCCCCAGTACCAAAACAAAACAAAACAAAGATTTGGTTCATAGACAAGAGAGAAGGAAGCCTGGCTACTGCTCTAGCTGGCAGCAGACCTTCGAGCCTTCTCTGTGGCACTGATTTTAGGTGCCTGCAGAATGCAAGAGTTGTGGGCTCAGGAAGGCTCCACCCAGATTTCAGAAGGAGCCTGGGAGGCCGGGCAGGGCCCCTGGAGGGCAGTGTGGGGGCTCTGAGTGTGGAGTGAAGGGTGCAGTGGAGCCAGAGCGCTCTGCAGTAGGTCTCCAGCCCCCACCTGCCCAGTGTGCTGTGCAACACAGACCTGAGGAAAAGTACACTAAGAGACAGAACTAAGAGAGAGACATCGGAGGGCCAGGACGGCCAGTGCCAGTGCAACCAACAAAGGCCCTGGCCAGCCCCAGGTCTGTCTTTTATTGGCAACCCATTGGGGTAAAGGTGACCTGTGGCTTCTACGGAAATTAATGTAAGCAAGGCTTGTAAAGGACAAGACAAAGCATTCTCCAATTAGGAGCAGAACAGACAAAATACCTGGTTGTAATTAGAACACTGTCCTTCTAGTCTGAAGGTTTTAGTTGTGGGAACGGAATTTGGGTGTGAGTTACTCTGACCTCAGCATGTAGGCTTCTGCCAGACTCACTCCTATAAACCACCAGTTGTGGGGTTAGCTCTGCACAGCCTGCCTTGGGCATAATCTTAGAAAATGTTAGAAAACAAAGTAACCTCACAGAAAACAGGAGGAAACAAAGAAAAGGCATGATAAACAGAAAGCCCAAAACACATAGTAGAAATAAATCCAGATATATCAGTAATCTCAAAATGAATTGTTTAAATTTCCATGGTGTAGCAATTCTCATGTTGGATAAAAGTAAGAAATTCAGATTTGTGGTACTTGCAAATTCCATCTGAAGCATAATGACATAAGTATTAAAAGTGAATGATGTAAAAGGATATACCTAGGCATACACTGTCAAATTTTTAAAATAACTAGTGTGGACCATAAATATCAGGCAAGTGGACTTTAAGGCGCAAAGCGGCATTAGAGTTGAAGAGGGCTGGAAGGAATCACTAAGAGTATGACATGTACGACCTGGATGCACCTTACCTGGACAGTGAGAACGACCAGAGTTGAATGGAATGGACAAACCTACATTTAGAATGGGAGATTTTGGTGTCTTGTTGTCCATCAGTAGAGAATAAACCTTCTCTTTAAACACACGCAGGACCATGAAAGCTGGTTGGGTCCTCAGCCATGATGAGAGTCTCAACCAAAGAATTTGTTTCTTGTAGACCCTCTTCTCTGATAAAAATATAAATAAATAAAATAAAATTGAGTAACGAAAATCATCCATTTACAAAGTTTGAACTTAAGCACTGTAAAATGTGTAAGACTAAAGGGCAATAAAAATGCTCTAATTCAAAACTATAGTGTATAGCAAAAGTGACGTGCTGAGTTTTATTGCCTTAGATACATACAATGGAAAAAAGTAAAAGAAAATGATCTTTACTTTTAAATTTTTACTTTGTAAAATGAAAAGAAAAAGAATGGGGAAGACTTAAAACCAGTAGAAGGAAAAAATAATAAAAATAACACTGGACTTTAGTGCAGTGGAAAACAAATAACCATCATACACCTAAGTGAAATCTAATTTGTCCTTGGACATGATGAAATAAACTGCTGAACCCACTGATCAAGTAGTACAAAGCTTAGAGAAAACATTTAGAGATTAAAGGGGACATAACTACAGAAATAACAGTTACCTAAAAATTATGAGGGAAACCCAGGACCTGCTTTATGCCAACACAGTTGAAAATCTAAAAAAACAAACAAACCAGATTTTAACTGTTAGAATCAAAGTGGTACGTATAATGCCATCCCTTCTGTGAAGGTAGGAGGGAAGAAGAGGAGAGAGGAAGCAGACACATTAGCTCCAATAGAGGAAGGTACTGGGGACCCCCGAAACATTACTGCAAACCTCTGCAGAAGGCTCCAGTCTCCTACTCGGTGTATGGCACAGGCTTGAGAAAAAACTAAAAGACAGAAATAAGAGAGACAGAAAATGAGTGCCAGGATGGTCAGTGCCAGTGCAACCAACCATGGCCTGGCCAGTGCAAACCACTGACTTTTACTGGTAATCAACTGGGGAAAAGGCGAGCTACATGCAGGGGCAGAACCATGTGCGAGGACATGCAGTCCTGAGGTTTCTATGGAAACTAACTTAAGCAAGGCTTGTAAAGGACAAGACAAAGCATTCTCCAATTAGGAGCAGAACAGACAAAATACCTGGTTGTAATTAGAACACTGTCCTTCTAGTCAGGTTTTAGTTGTGGGAACGGAATTTGGGTGCGAGTTACTCTGACCTCGGCGCGTAGGCTTCTGCCGGACTCACTTCCATAAACCACCAGTTATGGGGTTAGCTCTGCACAGCCTGCACTGCGTACAGCCTGCTTCGGGCACAATCAATCCTGCCTTCTCCCGCAGGAAGGGGCGGCTGCAGTCCTGCCAGTTCCCTCTGGGCCACCGGGCAGGCAGGGCATGACTCCAGGTGCACAGCGGTTGTCCTCCGTGGGTCACAGCTTGGGGAGCTCTCCCTGGTCAGGCCAAGGGGCCCAGAGGGAGGAGAGAGGCCTAACAGGCGCGGCAGTGTGGACTTCACCCCAGCTGCCCAGTGCCATAGCCCTCCCTACCAGGCTGAGCGCCCTGCTTGGAAACTCGGGGAAGGTTTGTCCAGTTCGGGAGAGAGGGTGGAAGCCCCCCACTACCACAGAAGACGTGTTACTCCATCGAGGGCTGGCCGGGTCGTCGGTAATCATCTCCATCTGGGAATAAGTGTTCCTGTCACACTGGGAGAGCCTGACCTAACACGCACAGACCAGGAATAGCAGGCAGAGCTTGCAAAGGAGTAGGAAGGGCAAGGGGGACAGAAGTCACGGGGTGTCACGGGAGGGACAGTGTGTCTGAGACACGGTGACAGTCCAGTGCCACGAGGCCCAGGAAGGCCCTCTGGGCTTGGCAACATGGACTCGGGCAGAGCGCAGTCTCCTTGAAGGAAAAGGAGCAAAAGCCAAGTTGGAGCCAGCGCCAGCCAGTGAGGAGAGGGCCCAGACTGGCCTTGGGTTTGAATTTAACTGTGCAAGGTTAGGGTTGCTGCAGGTGCCACTCAGATGGGGATGTGGAACTGGGGAAGTCCTCCTTCCTTCTTCCTTCCTTCTGCCTTCCTTCCTTCCTTCCCTCCTTCTTTCCTTCCTTTAAATGGGAGCTGCTCTTACAAGTTACCACAGAGAGGTGACTGAAAACGACAGAAGCGAGTGGTCTGGGGGTTGTGGAGGCGGAGTCTGCCGTGAAGGTGCTGACAGAGCTGAGCTCTTTTCCAGGTCAGGGAGATCCGTTGCACGCTGCTGGCCTAGCTTTCGGTGGCTGCTGGCAAACTGTGGTGTCCCATACCTGTGGCCGTGGGAGGCCACCTCTGCCTGTCCTCACAGTGCCCTCCTCGGCGTCTGTGTGACACTCATCGTCAGGTCTGCAGAGCCGCACAACTCGGGCGGCTTCATCTCGAGACCCTAATGGAGTTACAGCTCCAAAGACCTGGGTTCCGAGTAAGACCGCATTGACGGGTCCCAGGAATGGGGTCTGGACCCCTCAGGAGCCTTGGGAACCCACCGCAGGGGCAGACTGAGCGTGTGTAAAACTGGTGTGGTGGCACAGGCTTCCGAGCAAATGACAGGGCGTGGGCCAGGAAGAAAAGATTCGACTACAGAGAAACAGAACACCTCCCAGTGGTTAGAAACAGCGTGAGCGCAGAAAGACCAGCCACAGTCAGGAGAAAGTGTTTGCTACGCACATCGCAGACCTACCCAGTGTAGACTGCGCAGTCACGGAATGGGCACGGAAACCCCGCGGCAGTACGCTATTACGGAGGATACTGGCGGCGTCAGCAGGAGAGTAGCCGTGACAGCACAGAAGTAACAGTCAGAACAGCAGCAGAAAAATATTTTGCTATTAGTGTTTGTTGGCCCCATTTTCTTCCAATGGGAAAAAATAACCCAAAGCTGCCAATTCCGAGTGAGCAGGCTGTTGTCTCCCAGGTGGCCGGGCTGTGTGGGGTCCGCTACCGCTCTCGGTCCCCAGCCCTGTGCGCCCTGGGCTGGCGTCCAGTGTGCTGTGGGACCCTGTGTGGAGGACAGGATGTCTTGTCCCAGCTCCCTGTCCCCGGGACCCTCCTTACTCGCCCGGACCTGGAAGTGCTCCAAGCCCTGGGGCGTCTGTCTCGGGACTGAGTTACGAGGGGCCACACTGCGGGGTGAGATGCCAGCAGGGCTGCCGGCAGATTTGGCTTTTATTGCAAGTAACCTCCTGCCCCTTTCCAAAGGCGTAAGTAAGTGGAAGTTTCCCAGTTCGAGGGGGAGTAGCTCCATGATAATGAACCTCTTCTGCGGTCTCTGAGATGCAAGCGACGAGGTTTCCATGCTTTCCTTGGGGACCGTGAGGTCCAGTCGCATGCAGGTTGAGCCTGTGCGGGCTCCTCCCAGGCCCTCTGTCACCTTAGCCTCTCTGCGCTTTGTGTTCCCAGGAAGATCCGAGAGGCCTCGTGGCTGTGGGCACAGTGGGCCTGGGGACACAGCCCAGATCTGACATGCTTGCTTTTCTCTTCCCCTCACCATCCTGGTCCCAGTGAGATGAAACAGAAGCTGGAGGAGGAGGGCAGCAAGTGTAGCATCCTCGCCAAGCACCAGAAGTTCGTGGAGCACTGCTGCATGCGCTGCTGTGCACCCTTCACCTTCCTGCTCAACACCCGGCGCCACTGCAGCGACTGCAAGTTCAACGTCTGCAAGGGCTGCTGCTCCTTCCTCAGGCACGAGAAGGCCTGGGTGTGCTGTGTGTGCCAGCAAGCCAGGTGAGTGGCCGAGGGCCAGGTCACCCTCCCCCGGGGGCCCAGGGCCCAGGGTCAGGGGAGGCTGAGGTCAGGGCGGGCGGAGGACATCTGTGGACCTTGTGCGTGGCCACCTGTGTTGCTCTGTGGGGACGCAGGGCTCCAGGGCTGGAGCCGCATCACGGGGGCCAGGAAGTCGAAGCAGTGTTGCTGCGAAGGATAAAGAGCGTGGGCTGGGAAGGGCCGATGGCTGCGTGAAGGGCGTAAGCAGCATGCAGCGTGTGTCCGGACAAAGCGAGTCTGTGAGGCGGAGAGTCAGATGCTGAGGTTTGTTAAGCGACTGTCTGGTGTGTTTGTTCCTCGGGATTCTTAAATCTCTGCCGATCTGGGTCTGGAGAGTGCAGGAGTTCACGCTTGCGATGTCTGTGCGTGGTGCCCGAATCACAGCGAGCTGGGCTGAAACGGTGGCCGAGGCCATGCCCTTGGGTCACCTGTCTCCCAGCTCTGCCCTCCCCATCCTGCCTCCTCTGACCTGTTTTGGGCTCCTATTCTCTAACACCTTGAGAGTCAGGACGGTGACTGGGAAAGCTCTGGGGGCTCCCAGGAACCAGGCTTGGAGCTCTGCAGAGCAAAGCCGCTCAGAGACACCATCAGCAAGACGTGCTTTGTTGAGCATGAAGCATCTCAGGCCCAACTGGCACCTTGAGGAGCCTGCCTGAGTCTGCTGTGGCCGCCTGGCAGGAGGGGAACCCATGATGAGGGCCAGGGCATCTGTCTGGAGTGTCGGATGCGTCATGCTTTCCGCTGCTCTGTAAAGCTTGGATGCTGGGGGGACTGCACGGGCTTGAAACAGACGCTCAGGAGTTGGGAATCTGAGCTTTGAGCCAGCTCCCAGTAACTAATCATGGATCTGTTTGCTTTCAGGCTTCCAATAATGTTTGCTCCAACCACACTCAGCTGATGCATGGAGAGGAGGGTGGGTTTGTTCTTGGTTGGGGTCTTGCAGGGCTCTGCGACAGGCCAGAGTGTCGGAGTTAGGGCATTTCGATAGCGAAGGAAGTTGAGACTGAAGGGGGCTGAGCGTTGGACTGGAAGAGAATGCAGGGTCCGTTAAGGAGAAGAGCCGGGAGAAGTGGACAGCACTCACTGCGGGGTCCTTACCAAAGCGAGTCAGAGAAAGGAAAGTCTGTCTGTCGGGACGGCCAGTGAATAGTGTGGTAAGTGCAGCGTGGACCGCTGCAGAGAGACCGTGGGGATGGAAGGAAAGCCCGGGCCTGGAACCCAAGGAGCACAAAGCCAGTGCCTGTGGATCCTCAGAGGCAAGGCGGGGAATGAGCCCCAGCCGACAGGGTTTCCTTGAGGAAGGAAGGGACCTAAGAGGAGTGGGCAAGCCCGGGGTCGCTGAACGTCAGGCTCCTGCACCTGGCTGGCAGGCGGTCTCACACAGCACTGGGCCCGGGCGTCTGCCCAGCATCACCGTGCCCTGCTGGCCTCAGTGCCAGTCGTGGAGACGCTGTTCACCCCTGTGTAGCCCAGATCCTGGCTGTGGAAGGCACAGCAGGCTGAGAGGCATGGTGCAGGGAGGGAGTCGTCACTGAGCACAGAAGGACCCAGAGTCCTGGGTGGAACTCCCAGGGGGACAGAGCCACAGGCGAACGAGAGGCCGGCCCTGCAGCCAGCGGGGAGTCCGGACAGGCCTGGAATTCAGTGTGGTCCTCAGCTGGTGAGAAAGCCTTGAAATCACAAGCCCTGGAAGTTACAAAAATATCTGCTCCTATTTAAAGTGCTTTCTTTATTTCTCTTCTCCATGGAGAGAAGTCTCCCAGCTTACTACGTGGTGAGTTCCAGGACAGCACGCAGGCACAACTGGGGCTGGGGGGCTGTTTCGAGGGGCAGGTAAGTGACAGCAGTGCTACGGGCAAAGCCATGCCCCTCGGGGTCTGACCAGGATGGGAGCAAGTCTCCCGAGTGCAGACTGTGCCCTCGTTCATACTGGGCTGTCTCACAAATTGCCAGATACTGGAAAATAAGCTCTAAAAGTGGCAGCAGGTGACTGCTGAGGCTATGCTTTACATTTCCATTTCATCCTTCTCCGTGAGGAGACTGGAGACTTAGCTAATCCCTCATCATTTCCCTGTCACGTTCATGGCAGCTCCGAGTCTGAGCAGGGACGCTAGCAAAGTAGGAGCCCTTCACACACTGGTGCCTGACGAGGCGCACAAACTCCATGCTTCCAGGGAAGCGGGGCTGCAGAGGAGCCCGCTGCACACGGCCTGCCCAGCTCAACCTGAGCCCCCAGAGTCGTGCCAGAGCGTGACCCAGAACTTGCTGTGTTAATTTGGGATCGTCACAGCTGAAACCAAAAGGGGCAGAAGTTGGTTCACTCACTGTTTCTCCATCCATTCCAAGTCAGTCACGGGAACTTGTCTAGGAAGAAATCCGTGAGGTGTGTGGTGTATTTTTTTTTTTTTGTATCAGGGATCGAACTCAGGACCTTCCACTTACAAGGCAGCTAGCGGCATCAAGTCCCTGGCCCGTATTTTTGATCCTTGAAGTTTCTCTAAGGCTCAATCAGAGAAGTTGGGCCAGAGTCTCAGGTGGGAGACTCGAGGGCTGACAGGCTTTCACAGCACCTGGCTCACATCTGGGGTTCTTGAAATTTGTTTTATATATTCAGAAACAAGCTGAATAACCCTGTATCACAAATCTCTTGTGTAGAAGATTTAAGGAATATTTTTACTTGAATCAAGTGTGGAAAATTTCAAAGAAGTAACTTTAAAAACCTACTCGGGTTTTTTTTTTTCTACAACAAAAATAATCTTTACTTCAATATTTTTGAAGCAGAAAAATAGTTTACTACAAGTTCTTCTGCTCTGAGTAGAAGTCTTTCCCGGACACTGCGGGGGACCTGCTACTGTCCATGGTGCGCAGTGGCTCACTTGCCCTTCGTCAAGGTGCACTCTGGCCTTGGTTAAGAGGAGCTTGCTTCAGACTTTAGTCCTTGGGGCTTTCTTCCCACATGTTCGTATCGCAGAAATGTTGTGTGTCGGATTCTACACATTCACGTTTGGTGTGCGTGTGAAATCAGTGAAACGATGGGCTGCAGCACTCACACGGCCCAGACCAAGCCACGCTTCACTCTCTGCCACCCACTGAGCATTTTCCTTCCTTGGGTGACCTCACTCGCTTTTGCTGCCTTGGTTTCCTTCTCAGCTGTTTATTTGGTGGCTCCTGTGTGTGTGTGTGTTTTGAGATACTCTGAGCCATAGTTCATTGTAACAGTAAAAATTCTTGTCACAGACAAATTAAGGAGCTTGGAGTTGGAGGTGATAATCCATAGCATCAGGGATCACCAGCTACTGATGGAGGCCAGGGGCCCCAGTCATCTGCTGGGCTCTTCCGAGTCAGTGCTTGGATCAGAAGCGTGGGCCCATCTGAGCGTCAAGGCAGCGCCAGAGCCGGGCAGTCTGCAGCTTCAGCCTGCTTCCTTTCATCCCTGTGAAAGGGAGGGTGGAGCACTCTGTTTGATTATTCAGTGCAGTAAGAGCATTTTAAGGATTTTTAAAATCCCTTTCAGTGGCTGTAGCTGTAGTTGTAACCATATGGTTAGCTCTTCATCAGTCTTCATATTTTACATTCAAATGCATTTCTGTTGTCTGATTAAAAATTTTAGCTTTGGAAGAGAAGATTAATAAACACCAGATGAATTTATGATAGAATAGATGATAGGTGACTTATTTTGGAAGCTATCTAGCAATGGAAAATTACTGAGTCATTCTTTTGTCATTTTTATTATATACAAATATGACTTCTTGACAATTTATTGACTAGATTCATTCAAGCATTATAAACAAGGACAGATGCTGGTTGCATTTTAAGGAAGCAAAGAGCGGAACGAGTCCAGTCCATGCAGATCACCCATTATCATTTCAGGCTGGGTTGGTTCAAGAATTACGGTCCTACTTTCCTTGGGGACGAATCGGCTTTCTAGTCTGTTGCAGAACCTTCCACCAGCATATACCAAGAACTAGCAGCATACCCAGGCTTTGTACCCAGGAATTCTATTGTTGAAAACCTACAACTAATAACATAACAAAATATTTTTAAATGCTGCATAAAAATGAATTGAACTGAATTATTTGTAATATAAAAAATATAAATGCCCAAAAGTAGGTTATGGAAGTGAATTAAGACGCAGTCAGCCTGACAGAATATGGCACGGCCTTTACAATATGTGTGTGGTTTATGAGCAGTGCAGTGTGTAGATATAACATAGTCACTGGAATAAGGAAAACAGGCAAAAAAGACAGGAAACATGCGGTCAGTCCTGTCAGGAGCGGCCCTTCTGGGTGCAGCAGGTCTGCCCGCTGGCTACCCTGCACATCTGCGCTTGTGAGCGCCACAGTCTCAGGAGCTGGGGACAGGACTGGAGGTGGGCAGAGTGACAGGCACGAGTGGACACCGCACTGTGTGCCCTGCCTGGGCTAGAGAGGGGCTGCCAGGGAAACTGAGGAGCTGCTGGGCCTGTCTCATGGGGCCCAGAGGTGACCCTGCACCCCGGGGCAGCAGGTGATGTGGACAGGAAGCAGCGTCCTCCCAGGTGGATGTAGACATGGGCCATGGGAGGAGCACTGGCCCCGGAACTTGGAGGGAGCCTGGCAGCCCTAGGAGGGAGGAGACTCCAGCCCGGGGCATTTTGCAGCAGATCACAAGCAGGGCCTGGGAGGAGAGCTCCTGCTGCTTCCCACCGGCCGCCCAGAACCCAGGATGAGGAGCCGCGTTGGGGTGGAGCCTTTGCCCAGGCCAGGGCCCAGCGGCAGCACTGTCAGGATGACCTAGGTGTGCATCTGTTTACCCAGGCTGGGTGCTGGAAGGACCCAGGCTGCAGTGTGCTCGAGCAGGTGTTGGATGGGCAAAGCAGGGGGAAGAGGAAACAGACACTGCAACCTGAGGGACGGACACCCCAGTGAGCAGGCGGGCCCAACACCAACGAGGCCGCTTGCCCTCTCTGGGAATGGGAACTT